AACATGAATACGACACTTGTAAGGCATTGAAAATTGAGCGCATCACGATAATCGGACCTAAAATTTATTCAGTGGCGGCTGGAGTCTTTCTTTTCTTGTTTCCGTCTTATATTCATTCATATTCTGAGCGCACATTATCATCAGTTTAAGTTGATCCGTAGAAATTCCCCAAATGACTGCAAAAGACAGTAAACGCAATCAAATGATACAAAATTACGGCGTTTTGGAAAGCTACTAAAAAGCGTGGCTATTTTTGTGGATCATTTTTTTGTTCCTTTTTTTTTTTTTTTAAATTTATCAGTTGAGTGTAATAATTTAAAATTTGAAATGCTACGTACCAGTAATAAGGGAATCGTTTTTCAAAATCACTAATCATTCCATTAAAAAATCGACATTTTTCTCTTTTTTCGAGGTGTCTTTTGAAATTAGTATTATTTTTTTGTTCACTTTTTGGGGGTGAAGCTGGAAAGAAAGAAAAAAAATAGCATTTTCATTCATATAAATAATTTCTAATGATAAAAACTTACCAAAAAAAAAAAATGAAAATTAAAACAAAAATGATGGCGCAGTGAAAAAAAAAAAANAAACGAAAGAAGAAAAAAAATTATTACGATTTTGAAATTTAAAAGTAAAAAAAAAAGGAAAGAAAAAATAAAACATACAATTTTCTTCCTCTGTAACTTTTTTACGATTTCGTCGTTTTTTTAATGCTTTCCGAATTTCGTCACCGGACAACAAACGTTTGCTATCAATTTCACCGGGTGGAATAACAACGGAATCATCCAAAAAATTATCCACACCACAGATAAGTTCTTCACGTACATTTGCTTCATAAGCAACAGCATTAAATTCCTTAACATAAATCTCGAGAATTTTGTTCTGGTAAATTATTTTCTAGCTCATTAAATATCAGTTCAAACAGACAATTATTTGAAAAAAAATTTTTGAAATTGAATTTTATAAATTCATACCAAAGGATGATTGAGAGGAAAAAAAAAAATGAATAAAATAATTTAACCATGTTCGTCATTAGTGTTGCAATGGATCGTCCCACTTCATGATAACTAACATCCGGTTGACCTGATCCTAAAATTACTACAACAAAACGAAGTGGTACTTCACCATCAAGAATTTCTGGCATCGTTGCTGGTTCACTTAGTCGAAGCATAACGAAATATGTTTTCGTTAAATTTGGAATTACACCAACAAAGATCTGAAGTATAATATTATTACTAATTTTACTTACAAATTTGAAATCAACTAAATTCTCATCAATATTTAAAGATTTAATTAATGCAATACAATCTTGCGAAAAAAAAGTAAAAATCAAATATTAGTATTAAAATATTATTAAAAATTTTTTCGAAATAACAATTTTTTTATAAACACATAAAAATGATACCTGCGCCGTTTCAGTACCAACGGGAAGTTTTCTCAAGATATCTTCACTTTTATGAAGCTCCGATGAATGTGTTCTAACTCTAAAAATTATCATATACATTTTTAATCATTTAATACAATCAATAATTAAAGTTTGAAATAAATAATAATAAGCATACTTTCCCAGTGAGTCTGAGATAAAATGTGCCGTCGTAGATTGTTTCGTCGGATTTAAGCATAATCTTTCTTGAACTGCTGGTATTGCCGGAAGATTGGGAAAGCTGAAATAAAATTGAAATAAGCAAATGAAAAAAAAAAGAATTAATAACTGAAATTGTGGAATTGAAAACCGAACATACAGAATTAATCAATTGGAATTGTAGAACAGAAAAATCAAACACAGAGAATTAATAAATTTGAAATTGTGGAACTGAAAATCAAACAGAGAGAATTAATAGATCGAAATTGTGGACTAAAAACCGAACATAAAGAATTAACAAATTGAAATTGTAGAATTGAAAATCAAATATTGAGATTAATAAACTGAAAGAAATTATAGAATTGCAAATCAAACATCATAATGATTTTTATCATTAAGAAATGAAAGTAATTACCTTTGTTGCTTGAGAACACTAATTGGTATTCCTCTTAACCCAGATAATGCCGTATTTTCCATTTCATCAACTTCTGCTATTGTTGGTTGCTTACGTATGTTACATATTTGA